CACTATCATCAAGTCAATTCCACGTCATAGCAAACCCCAAGGTTTCCAAGGCTGTAAATCTTTACAAAAGGAGAACGCCTCATCTTTCTCTTACAGAACAGCTGGTGGGTTTGAACCACTGACCTTGGGGTTAGTGGCCAAATGCCTTACGTACTACACCACCAGACCTCCTTATAGAAAGGTACACTATATACAATGTACTAAGACAAACATTTGACTGATGTTAGATAGGAACTATATCTAACTGTTCCAACTTAAGTACAAATTTGACTTAAAGACAGACCTAGGAATGGAACTCATTTGTAATCCAGGGATTGCCTGGATATGTTTGGCTTTTTAAAAAAAAACTTTCTACAATGAGCATTAAGTTATATTCAGAAAAACCAGTAATTCCTATTTTTAACCAACCTTCAAGGCTCATCTCAAATTCCATCATGTTCTGAAATCTCTTCTATCCCTCAAGCCAGGTGTGGTCACTCCCTCATCTTTCTCTACCACAGTTTATGGAGTTTACAGTCTTTTTGTATAATTATTTGGACACCAAATTCATGATTTCAATTTCTAGTTATATGCCTATGAGCTGTCCCCAACTTCTTACAAAGGACATGATGCTGAATTCTACTTCATGTCACTGCATCCCATTATCCTCAAAATTCATTCATTGTCACACTCTATTAAAACCATACTTTGTTTCTCATAGCACTTACCACTTGGAACTACATTTCTATTTACTAGCTTATTGTCTGTTTCTTCCACCAGAATAAAAGCTCCATGAGGTTATGGACTGAGTCTGGTTCTCCGATGTCCAGAACAGTTAGTTTCTGTACACAGGAAGGGTTCAATAAATACTTCTTGAATAAATGATACAGATTCACAACTCTAGACTAGGCCTCTCTTCTAAGTTTCATGCTACCAGACAGCTCTACTGGGGTTTCTGCTAGGTACCTTGAAGCTCAACATGTTTCGATAATGAATTCATACTCTCCACTATTACATCATATCATTGATGCATTTGAATTGTGGTCTTAATGAAGAATACTGAAAATTCTGTGAAGAATGAACAAATCGATCTTGGAAGAAGCACAGCCAGACTGCTCCTTAGAAGTGAGAACAGCCAGACTTTGTTTCTTGTACTTTGGTCATGTTTTCAAAAGGGACCAGCCCCTGGAGAAGGACATCATGCTTGGTAAAGTGCAGGGTCAGTAAAAAAGGAGAAGATCCTCAACGAGATGGATTGACACAGTGGCTGGAACAAGGGGTTCAAGCATGGCAACAACTGTGGGGATGTCACATGACCAGGCAGTGTTTCATTCTGTTGTACACAGGGTCACTATGAGTCAGAACCTACTTGATGGCACCTAAAAGCAACAACTATCACCTGATCTGTACTTCCTCCATTATTCCCCGTCTCAATGAATTTCATACCTATCCACCTAAGTCAGAAGCATGGACTTCTTTCTTGCTGCTTCCTTCTACTCCATTTCCCACAACCAACTCATCACCAGGCTTTGTGTAGATTTAAGCCCCCTAAATAAATATTATCTCCCCCATTCCTACTGCCATTTCAGTTGTTGAGTTCTCACCACCTCTAGTTTAATGCTCCCACCTAAGTGGATCAAATCTCCTCCTTTACACAGTTTCCTAACTGCTGCCAGAATATGGTAGATAAAATGCAAATATGACCATACTACTCTTTAAAAAAAAATCTTTTAGTGTATCACAGTCACCAACCAAAGTTTAAGCTCTTCAGCATTGCCTAATGATAGCTAACATTTATAGGATTCTTACTATGTGCCAGACACTGTGCTAGGTGTTTTATGTGCTTTATCTCATTTATGCTTCGTTAAGAATGAGACAGGTATGATTATTATTGAGATTTCACATATAAGGAAACCTGAGTCTTAGATAAACAAAGCTGGACTCAAACCCAGGTCTCTACAACCTATACTCTTAGCCACAAAGGCAAAGGCAGCTGATCTGGAGTGCTTACTGTGTGTCACACACTCTGCTAAATGCTTTATATGTATTTCTCTTTTAATCCTCATAACTACTTTATGAGAAAGGACTTGCTATTATTCCAGTTTTATAAATGGGAAAATTAAGGCACACAGATTAAGTAATTTACTCAAAGTCAGAGTGATTAAATGGTGAGGCTAGGATGTGAACTTCTCCCCAGGTTCTTAGCAACAATGTTATACTCCTTCACTTTCCTCACAGCCTAAGCTCTCCTTGGTCTGGACCCTGTAACATTTATGGAAAAGGTTGGGAGATACTTTGCTAAACAATAATGCTGATGTTGGCAACCATAAGGTATTAGGGATCTGATGGCTAAGTATGAGCACCTCTAGAAAGACAGAGGGATCTTGAAAAACTCAGGAAAGTTTGCTCTCACCAGGGTCTATGTTCAGGAAGAACCAAGAGAGAGACATGCACCATTCTATTCCCTCCCCTCAAAAAGAACATGCACCCCCCTCTCCCCAGTGACATTGCCACTGGGTATCCCTCAAGTTATTAGCTGACCCACCTCTCTATTTTAGCTTGTCTTTGAGATGCCATAGCAACAAGGTTAGGATAGGCCATGGAGGAGCTAGCAGTGCTGTTTTCAGCCGAGTTGTTCTTCATTTTGGGTAGCTCAAACTCTGCCACATGATAGTAATGGCACTGAGTTAAGTAATTTATAAAGTGTTCTCGAGCCCACTGCAAATGATCTAGACGCTTGCTGGGGTTGACTTGTTTCATGGTGAGGGCTCCTTGAAATGCTGGCACCAAGAGATACTTCAGGTCGGCGGAAGCAATCTCTTCTAAATCTTCATTTTGGCTAGAAAGAGCAAAGAGGAGGCTGTGAAGCCTGGTTGGACAGTCAAACTGTGGCCCTTGCTTCCTGGGGAAGGAGAGGGCTGGAGAGGAAAAGGGGAAAGGGATGAGGCATGGGGAATAGCAGCAAGTTTTTTCTTTTCCCCCCAAAATGTGGCTGAGTGCTCACGCCCAATACCTATTAAGTTAGCCCGACACTAGGGAGCACAGTCATAGAATATTAACTACTTGGAAAAGAGGTGGAGAATGTAAACAATTCATACAAGATCGCAGTAGGAGATAGGGATGAAAGGTTCCTAGTCCTAAAAGTCTCAACCCAGACTCAAGGGCTCCTCCCTTAGTAACCATTATTACCTTACTACCCTCTCCCCCATACCTGAACAAGTCGAGCTGCGATAACATTTCGGCAACCTTATCAAGGAGGTCCAGTCCCTTGAACACCTTGTCCTGGACTAGCCTGGAACCGGTGGGTTCAGTCGCTACCTCTACTTCGTCCAGAAGCTGCTTGCCGGCTTCGAATAGCTCAGGAAGCCGTGGCAGCAGCAATTCGTCCTCAGCAGTTGCCATCTTGGGGTAGGGAAGAACGCGGAAGACCTCACTTCCGGGGTCAAAGGCAACATCGGTAAAGAACTCCTGCGAGAGGGAATGAAACCGGAAGGGGCGTCACATTGGTTCCGCCAGCTCATTGTTACTAAAGCGTCAAAAAATAAAAAAAGAAAAAGAAAACCTTCCGGAAGCAATTCTTTGCCAGCCCTGGAAACCGTTTCTATAGACTCATTTTCCCAGGCAACCCTTGGCAGACATCTGTTAAAAACAAACAAGCAAAACCGTAGGCGCGCTGTTATTACGATTTGTTTCTCTTTGCTGACACTAGGCTTGGAAGTTTTGAGGGCCTGAGGCCCGGGTGTGGGGAGGCTGGAGAGCAAGCGAGCGAGCGCGAGTGAGCTTTAGTAGCCAGACAGGCAGAACCCTTACCTCGCAAATCGGTCCCTAGATTGAGGAGCCTGGCCAACTAGGGGCTCCAGTCTGCGCCGTTGCCGTGGGTCGCAGGGGTGGACCTGCGAAGACGTAATGGAAGTAGCGACCCTCTCTGGCTTCTGTCTACCCACCAGATGTAGCTCCGGATTCCTCACAATCCTTGCCCGCCCTCTTCCTCATCAAGTCATCCCCTCCTCCACAGAGCAAGGAGTTTCCAGCCTTGTGCCCTGGGAGTCCCTCTCCTTAGTCCAGATAATTTGGTAATCTGCGACTGTGGTCAACCCACAGGCAGCGTCATTTTTTGCCACCCAGTTCCTAGGCCAAATGTGTGTTACTTCCTTTGTGAAACCTTATTTGACCTATCCCCACCCCACCCCACCCCCGCCTGCGCTCCCTCTCCTTTCCCCCACCGTGGCCAAGTCAGGGTTTCCTCTGTTCATCTCTATCATAGCATCTACCACATTGTACTGTAGCTAGTGATTTACAAATCTGTCTCCCGTACCAGAATAAATTGTATTTATTTTTGCACCCTTCCCAGCGCCTGATACTTATTAAGTGTTCAATGTCATTATATGAATAGAAAATTGATCGGTTTGGAAAGCAGTCCAATTATGCAGAACTTCACTGCTCAACACGGTAGCCATAAGTGGCTACTGAGCATTTGAATGGCACTTGAATGGGGCTATTTTGAACTGAGATGTGTTGTAAGTGCAAAACACAGGATTTCAAAAACTTAGAACGAAAACGAATGTAAAATATCTCATTACTTTTTATATTGACTACATGTTGAAATCATAATATATTGAGTATGCTGGGTGAACTATATTATTAACATTAATTACACTTGGTTTTGTTTAGTATTTTTACTTTTTAATGTGCTGACTAGAAAATTGAAAATTATGTAGGTGGCTCACATTTGTGGCTCACATTGTATTTCTCCTGGACAGCAGCTAAAATATAATCCCAGGGCTCTGAAACATGGGGCATAATTGCTTTGAACAAATCAATATAAATATATACTAATTGCCTTAGGATATGCCCCCAAGTTGTCCTAGGATATTTAAGTAGAAGGCAAAATGTCTTCCCCTGAAAATAAAGTTTTAAACTAAATATATTTTAAACTAGAAGGAAAAAAAAATTTCAAATTAGAATTAGAAACAACTAGAGGGCAATATATGACAGTGTGTAATGAGGCGATATGTTGTGCTGCACAGCCTGTAGGAAAACAAAGAAGGGACAAGTTGTGCTAGGAGTAGTTCAGAAGGCTTCTTAAACATGACATGGAGATATAGAATTTCAAATATGGAAGGGAACTTTAAAAATCAGTGGAAAAACCTGAAACAGGAAAGGTTTAGTGATTTGCCCAACCAGTTTGGACAAAGCCAGTGTTTTGAGTTCAATTATTTCTACTCCATCAACCTTAAGTTGACTAGGATTTAGAAAGGTGACAAACACCTTTAATCTGGGATAGAATAAAGCTCCCTGAAAGAATGATGCTTTTCAAGACAAAGGACTACAGCGTAGTATAGGGTGTAAAAACCTTCCCAGGTGATTCTAATAGATTTCCTTAGAACCCTGCCCTAAAAGGTGAGGAGGTGTTGGGTTTCCCTTCAGCAGGGCTCCCACAACCCAGGTCAGGGATAACGCCACCCAAAATCACTCACGAAAGACGTCTCTTGATGCAAAAGCAGGAGGAGTTTATTCGAAGTTCCAGTGCGCTGGGGCTCGGCTCACATCCCACGCAGGGGCAGAGGAGTAGAGCCCC